GCACCAACACCACCATTATCATCTTCTTCATAATATTGATACTCCGCATATTTATTTTTATTATTTTCCATTATTTTATTTTTAAATTTTTTTGCACCACAAAAAACGTTTTCATTTATAATTGGCCAGACAATAATAATAATTAGTATTAGTCGACTATTTTAGTCGATTCCAACCTCTAGTTAGGAAGCCCTAGTCTGGCTCTAAAAATTTATTATGATTGAAAATTTTATTCGTGTAACGGTTATAATGAATGAATTTGATCTGCAATATCCTGCGACTGATAAAGTTTCTAATTCTCATTTTTTTTTTAAATCATACGGACATTCACATAGTAATTGTAATAGTAATAAAATGTGATATTTTGAATCTTGTGTATTGTTTTTTTTTTATTTTCATTTTAAACCAATAAGCAACGTTTACTATATGTTTTTCCAATCCTATGTAAGTTGTGAGGGGAGGATCTAATACAAATAAAAAAAAAGTACTATATAGAAAGATTTTTTTTTTTACAAACCAAAATTTGTTTCCATTTACTATTTTATGAATGAAATCATTAACAATTGAGGAATTTTTTATTATTACATAGTTTGTTAATATTAATTATATAAATTGGGCGACTAATAATTTATTTTAGTGCAAAAATTTATTTTCTGGGAATGCTTGAAAGATTATATGAAAATCAATTAATATTAATCATCTAAAAATTTTTTTCCCGGCTCATTTGAATTAATTTAGTAGTTTTAATGCTACATCTTGAGACCCATGGCAAATAAATTCTTTTTTATTTTCATCATAGTCAGATATACACCCTTTTCTCCACGTGGCAACAAAACCTCCTTTAATTAAATATTCCACCTTTCCAAATTGATCAAATGGGAGATCCATTTCATAATATGCGTAGGAAGAAATGTGAGCTTTTGACATTCTTGAATAAAATTATCAATGATGCTGTTTCCGGATGACCATGTATCAAAAAGCTTCTGTAAATGTAAATGTAAACGAATACAAATTCACAAAATATCTGTTTAATTTACAATTAGGACATTCTTTTATCGATTCAAATATATAACCATTTCAATTTCTAAAAGGTTTTAATTTTCAGTTATTAATGTAGCCCTTTTGAATTTCTTTACCAGACGTGTTATTATAAATATCATTTGCAATTGATAAAGAATTATAAAATAATTCATAATAAGTTTTAAGTACAAAATTTCTTCTGTCTGGTGATAATGATGATAATAAATTGTAATATGACATTTTTTTAATCATATATTAAATAGGCTGGTTGCGTAAATCATAATTTGGCAATAATTGTTTTGACGACTAAATAGTTTAATCAATTTGGTCAAATGCTCATTTAGATTACTCGGTCAGCCTGATATTATTAAGCGACTATGTCGTCGTTTCACACACATTATTTATTATAACATGTACAAAAAGAAAATTTTATTGGTGTTTAGGTGTCAACAACGCTATTATATTGTCTGCAGCTGACATTTTGCATTCACCATCTTCCTTGAACGTCTAAATTGACCAATTTTCGATTTTATAATCATCAAGTAAAACAATGGATTTTAATTGGCAATCAATTAAAATTTGTAAATTGACAAATTAATATTGCCGATCAGTCCCAATTTCGAAATCAATAATTTTATAATAAAACTAACCTAATTTAGAAATCACTTTGTCTAGCCTTTTATTCTTTTTAACTTTCACATTATATGCATATGATGCTATTATGACAGTCTAATCCAGGGTATTTCATTCAATATCAAAAGATATTGAATTATCAATGTGCTTTGACAAAATATTCATTTTATGTTTATTTTTTACAATTTTCTATTTTTTTTTTATGTTGATCTAGAAAAACCACCACGGGGTCCTTGAAGAATTAATTCATAATCATATGGTAAATTGTTATAGATGGTTTCATTTTGACCATCTGTCAAATTGAAATTAAACATTTAATTCAAAAACAGGGTTTGGTATCCTTGGAATTTTTTAAATAAGAAAATATCGCAGAATGGAATGACAACATTTATTGATAGGATTCAATCACGACTTTAAATGGTTTTATAAAAAAAGTACCGATTTAAATATAGAACTTCTTGAATATTATCTTGGCAATAATGAATTTCGGCCAAAATATTTTTTGGTGAAATTTGTCCCAACTCGATTGCTTTTTTCTTTCATATGTCTTATTCTCCATTAGATCAAAAAATCCCAGATATCGATTTCTTCTAATGTTCATAGTCTATAGTTGTTTGCCGCGACTATTTTTATGATTATGACAATATTTACGGATTCTCAATGTTCTTTATATGAACTAACGTAAAATAACTATAAATTAATATGCCATTTGACTTGAAGGGTTCAAACAGTTACAGAAATAATTTGGTAACTACGATCATTTATTAAGGCGAACAACTATAATATAGTCATAAGCATTGATATTTGTAATCATCAAATTAAATACTTTAAGAATAATTATTTTCATCACAATAATCTTGAAGTTGAATGATTGGTGTGTTTCGATGAAATATTATAAACATAAATTATATTTTGTTCAATCCGTTCTTTTGCTTATTTTTTTTTTTATTAAATAAATAAATTTGCAAATTTAGCTCATCACATATTTCAAGAAGTTTAAAATTTTTATTTGGATCCAAATAATATATTATTAACTGTTCCATTATGAATATATTGCAAAAAACTTTATTTTTATTATGTATAACAATAATTTTAAATATATATTTAGGGATAAATATTAGTTTTTTTCAAATATATTTCTTTTGGATTTTAAAAAATTTAAAAACCTTAGTCATCATAAAAATCAAGATTATGTTACTAATATATTTTAATGGTCAGATTGCTAATTAATACCAATCGAGCTTTTTTGTAGGGACAGGTCTTGCACAGATTATTTGTAGTGAAATCAAGTGGTCGTATGCCAAATCTGTGAAGAGTAAAATTCCAAGATAATTTATTAAAATTTGAGCAGCAAAATAACAAACTCATCATCATCAAAGTCAGTCATTGTCGTCACAAAAAAATTGTTAAAAAAATCACTTTGTTCTTTTTCAAGTGTGATATTTACTTATACACATACCTTGAAATTAGGGAAGAAATATATTTTTAAAGAATAAAAAGAACAAATAAAAATTGTGGGAAAAAAAGAGATCAATAGACAAAGATAACGAATTCATATTTTTTCACATCAATATGACCAATGTTTTTTCAAAGTATTTTTTATTTCTATATTTAACAAAAAAATTTTAATATCAAGTATTTTCTTTTTCTTTTCCCCTCCTTCACCCTCAATGGTTGTTAATTAATATATTTACCCTCATTAGGAACACATCCTAATACTTTATTCCAACAATTTTCATCTTTCAAAACATCTTGATCCTTCAATATTAAGTCATTAAAGTATTGGTTTATTATCGACTAATTATTTGTTCATAAAAAAGTTACATATGAATATTACGTATATATTAAATTATAATAAAATACCTTATGAAAGGATGAAAATGCCCACCAAGGTCAACTCTTTCTGTGCTTGTGCACCACCCTATACAGTACATGCAAACATACATATTGATTTATAATTGACAAAAAAGAATTTGTATTCTCGTGCTATATAACAAACTAATTTGTATTCTCATGCTATATAACAAACCTCAATAGCTTCCAAGTATGATACAATAGCCTTTCTCTTATTGTTATTTTATTTTCTGGCTGAAGAATTTCTACCTGAATATACCCACAATAAATATCTCGACATTAATAGATTTTTAGCAGAGTCTTAGAACTTATTATCCCGATTTTTAATCTTAATCGGAATTTTATTTTATTTTGTTATTATCATAATATAATTAAACAAGATTTTTTTAAAAATGTATTTTATTTCATTAATAGATTCTTATGCGTACATATTATTATATCCACCAAAGGTTGAGTTTTTACAAAGACAATGTTATTTATATGGGAGTAAAATTACTATATGGTTGATTGTTGATTAATATAAATAATCAAACAATTAATTTGATCAATTAATTGCATTTTATTTCTCTCTTCTTCTCCTCTTTCCTCTCATTTTCATTTTCCTCCTCTTTCTTATCGAAAATCTATGTAATTATTATAAATAATAAATAAATTATATTAAAAAATTTAATAATTTTTGTTTTATATATGAAATTTTTGGCTATAAAAGTTATAACATTTTTGTTGTCACCTTTACCCAGTTGCACTAGGTAGAATTTCAGCATGTTCATTCATTTATTATTTAATATTTACGTGAATTAATTTATAATTATTTTTATTAAATTATTCCTTTCTTACCAACAAGAGTTGATGGCGAAGCCTTGAATATGCATATTGAAGAATGATTTCATTTTCACACATTGGTAAATTTCCTTTATTTATGGTTAGATTTAATTCATCTGTTATTTTCTTCCGCCTATCTGAAGATGTTTGTGATGGGTTTTCCAAGTAGAGCTAGAAGTGATAGAAGAGGTGGTGGGAGAAATAGAAATACACAATCACAACCAATTAATCTTCCAAGTTCACCATCATTTAATAAGTTTGCTCATCAATATCCTTTATACAATGAGTCTCATTTAAATTTGCCATATGAATACAGTATTCTTGATTCCATCACACCTTATGATATTTTTAAATTATTTTTTTTGAATGAAATTTTAAGAACAATTGTAAATAATACTAATAAATATGGAAATCAAAAAAAAAGAAGATACTTGGATGGATATTGATTTTTATGAATTTTTGACTTGGCTAGGAATTATTATTTATTCGGGATATACAAAACTTCATCTTTTAAAGATTTTTGGAATAAGGATGAAAGAATGCCAATTCATTTCATTACCTCATATATGCAACTGCAAACATTTAAAAAAATAAAGAACTTTTTGCATAGTCATCAGGAAATTTTCCCTGTCACAATATTACGTCCATAAATTTTAATATGTAAAGTTGTAATATTTGCATAAAAATTATGTAATATTTACACTCAATGT